AGCCTATAGTCAGCAAGTTCTATTTAGATGCACAGAGCTTCCAATCAATTTTAGCAGCCCACCCTAACATTAGTGTAAGGCCAACAATCAACAAAAATTTCAGAAAAGTCAAAGCGAGAAGCTAAAAATAGCCAACTTAAATAATCAAATTGAAAACAGACTATGCAGGAAAAGAAAATCTAACAGAAACAAACAGCCTATCATTAATATCCTCTGAAAGAGAGGGGGGAAAAGATATTGTATTACTATAGGCATAAATAATAAGATGCTACAAGTAAATAATAAAGAAAAATTTTCTTGGAAATTAACAGTAGAAATTAAAACAAGGTAGAAATATTATGAGAATGAAAAAAATCTATCTCCCAGATAATGGAAGAGATACAAATAAAGAGAAAAAAAAAATTAGAAGACCATTCAAAGATATCCAATATTTATCCAGAAGAGAAAAGAAAGCAGAGAAAAAAGTAAAAGTGTCCCATAAGTGAAGAATGAGTGCTTCCAAGTCAAGAAGGTGCAACTGAGTGCTTGGTACAATGGATGAAAACAAACCAAGACACATAACTGTAAAATTTCAGAACACTGGTGACAAAGCTCATACATGAGGAAAGATCTATGCATAAATGAATAAAAAATGTACAAATGAACAAATATGAATGTACAAATGAATAAATAAATTTAGGTATTAAATAAATAAATGAATAAAAAAATGTACAAATGTAATGTACAAATGAATAAAAAATATTTTAAGAAAATGTTTTAGTCAATTTTTTGTTACATACATGTTACCTATTCCCACCAGTCACTTCTCTCTTGCCCCTCACTCTAACTACACAATTGTTTTTGCACCCAATTGAGTGGTTTTATTTTTATACCTATTAAATGTCTTATTTTGCTTTTTAAAAAAACTTTATCCATTTTGAAGTATATAAAAGGCCTCAAGAATGTTAAAACACTGTTAAGTGTTGAAGCTGTATGATAAGCACCTAAGGGGTCATGTGTACTATTCTACTTGTTATTGTGTTTGAAAATTTTTTAATGAAAAGTAAATAAAGTTATCTTAAAGAGGCTGACGGGTTGTCTCACACTTAAGGATGAAAAGATTCTATTTGCAGGAGATATGAAAATAAAATTTAATTCTTAAATCCATTCCTTTGCCCCTCATGAATGAGTTCAGGCCCTACTTCATTTTCATTCCTACAGTATGGCAACAGCTCCCTATCTGTTTCATACCTCTTTTATTCTACAGTCCACCCTGTTGCCAGTTTCTTTTCTAAAAACAAGATCTGCACTTTATTCTACTGCTCAGGAACTTTCAAGCAGCTTCCTACTGGCTACACAAATGTTTGCGGGCTGTTTGAAATCAATGTCCTGCTCATGATGGCTCTATTTCCACCATTTCCTGCAGACTACAATACACATAAAGAAAAAATGTTTGTCACACATATTATTAATACCCACCCTATTCCCAAGTCGGTATTTCTACCAAACATATTAGCATTTAAATACATTATCAAGGCAAGAAAACCATGAAGACTGCATCCATCAAATTCAAATCCTTCTTTCAGAATCCAATCACAATGGAACACTCCATGAGTTCCTCTCACATACCGAAACTTCAAAATAAATTCTTCAGTACACAGTTTGTATATAAAATACATATTCACAATAGCTACCTTCAATAAGACTGACTCCTAGGAGTTTCTTTTTATTCTCTTTTTAAAAGTCTACTACAAAAGATGAAGTATACAGAAGCTAGCAGCTTATGATGCAGTTCTCATTTCTGTTAGAAGAAAATAAAAAGCACTGCTGCTAATGAACTAGTTCACTAAGACAACTTTTCTACCCACTGTAATCAAGTTTAATATATTCAATGCCTATATGGACAATATAACCTAAAAGAACCTGATGACCATTTAAAGTACAACAGACATCATCACATACTTTGAAAATATTTGCAAAAGAAGAACCAAATACTTATGCAAAGTAGGATGCAAATTAAAATTATCTATATAGAACTGTGTACAGTAGAGTGGTTGTATCTGTAGTCATAGCACACACACTGCATAAGGCAGTATTCTGGTGGACAGGGCTGCAAACCCAGAAGGGAAGCAGAGGTCTCTTTCCAGCCCACAAAAGTTCCCTGAGTACACAATCCAATCTAAAAGCCACTCCCAATCTTCATCCCAGTGTCATTCAATACAAGAATCAACTACTAAGGTAAAGAAAAAAAGAATACACAATCAGGTTTCCATAAAAGAACAATGACAATACAGTATTAGTCTTTGGACTGGGTCTGTGATCATACCATGGAATGGAGAAGCCAAAAATCAGACTTGATATACAAAAGTTGTAGTATCAACCTCAAAGTCTCTCACATAAACCTACTCCTTTTAAATACCAACTTTTAAAATCAATGGCTTTATCCCATTCGGTTGAGTTCTTAAAGACTCTCAGAGAATGCCAAAGATTTGTGAAGGTTATCTTGAACTATAAAGGCATTACACCAATGATATCAGTGATATCAGTGTTATACAGCTAAACAGCATGCCACCTTCCTTACCATTTTTTTTTAAAGAAAATAAAAACGTCTCCAATTTTATTGATAAAGATTAAAGTATTATCTGCAATAAGAACTTAATCTGTTGCCACTAACTTTTCTATCCTACAAACATGTATTATGACTTGAAATCATAACATATGGCGAAGAATAGTTTTACTTGGCATTTGTTAGTACAATAGGCTATAAATTCACATGCTTGCAAAAGTGGAGATAAAACAACAATCAGCAAATTTGTAAGTCACCAGGAAGCTGAAGGTTTGGAAAAAAAGTAGCTATTTCCACTTTAATTTTGTCCCTTGAGTAGTGGTATGGGAGCAGACTCAAGAACAAAAAAATGAGAGCAACCAAGGATAATTTACTAAAATTCACCTTAAAAAGATTGAATCTGCCATCTTGGATCTCTGCACCTGGTGTAACTTCCATAGTACAGTCTTCGGCCTAAGTTAAATAACATATTCCCCATTAAGATACCACATAATATTTAATTAATAGGCCATATAAAGACAAACTAGCTGTGGCTAGTCTGTAATTTGAAAGTAAGAACATCAGATAATTATTTATATAAAACTCTAAAAGGGAGGGAAGGGAAAAACAAACATGGTAAACAAAATGGAACTTTTAAACTATCATATAGCATTTAACCATCTTTATAGGAAAGAGATTTAACTGGGGAGTAAAAGTGGGACGGTAGACAAGCCAAGGGTATTCCGTAATATTTATTAATTACCGTAATTTTATTTGTAGTAGAGGTTACTGGTATAACTTCAAGTCCCATTCGTATCCTCTTTTGTTTTTCACAGTAAGCTTTCCAAGTATCTTCATTAAACCCATAATTAAAATAATCAGAAAGATCAGCACCTAAAGATAAAACACACCTTTAGTGTTCAAATATTTCAGTTCTATTTTTATGCAGCATCAAAAATAGACTAGAAAAATACAAATTTAGACTTCTATTAGTTATCACACCATTATTTGTGGTGACAAAAAGACTATAAAATTTTTGATCGAATTATTTCCTTTAGAAACACCACTATAATAAACAATATGTAAGTCTACATTGTAAGTAATACAAGGCTACCAGTAAGTCAGTAATCCAAGTCATTCTTACTCATCATTTGCTTAAGACAATTAAAATTATAATGAAAAAATAAAATTCTAAATTGATGTTCCAAAATATTTTCTGATGACTTCAAGCTAAAAATATTGAAATTCATATAATCCACAATCATCTTACCCGGTTTACGCCATGGTTTATCTTCAAAAGAATCCAAATCTACCTCTAAAAGTGGAACTCCATTAATGCTTCCAGGTGCATCAAGGTCTACTCCTTTGACTTTTGTTCCTGTTTCATAAAATGACAAAATAAAGAAGCTACACTTGCAAGAAGCTAGGAGATACTACTGACAAACAGAAAATAGAAACACCTTTTCACTATTCCTGGCACACAAACACACAAACAGAAAACACACACCTTTTTACTATTCCTGGTAAAAAACACAGCAAGGGGTCCAAACAAAGCAGAGCCTAAAATATGTGCTACTGGACTTTTTGCTGTTGTTGTTTTTTTTTTTTTTTTTTTTAAAGACTCAGTCTCACTCTTGTCTGCCAGACTGGAGTGCAATAGTGCGATCTCAGCTTACTGCAACCTCCGCCTCCTGGAGTCAAGCAATCCTCCGGACTCAGCCTCCCAAGTAGCTGGGATTACAGGCGCTCGCCACCACGCCCTGCTAATTTTTGTATTTTTGGTAGAGACGGGGTTTCACCAGGTTGGCCAGGCTGGTCTTGAACTCCTGACCTCAGGTGATCCGCCCACCTCAGCCTCCCAAAGTGCTGGGATTACAGGCGTGAGCCACCATGCTCAGCCAGCTACTGGACTCTACAGAAAAAGTTGGACGATCTCTGTGATGCATGGTCAAAAATTACTCTTTAAAAAGAGCTATTATCTCAGGATTTTGGGATTAGCCTGGTCAACATGGCAAAATCCCATCTCTACTAAAAATACAAAAATTAGCCAGGTATGGTGGTGGGTGCCTGTAATTCCAGCTACTCAGAAGGCTGAGGCAGGAAGAACTGCCTGAATCCAGGAGGCAGAAGCTGCAGTGAGCCGAGTTTGCACACACCTGGGTGACACAGAGAGACTGTAACTCCAAAAAAAAAAAAAGAGCTATTATTACCACCTTGGCCAGGCACAGTGGATCACACTTGGAATCCCAACACTTTGGGAAGCCAAGGCGGGCAGATCACTTAAGCTCATAAGTTCAAGATCAGCCAGAACAATATGGTGATACCCTGTCTCTACATAAAAATGCAAAAATTGGCCAGGCATGGTGGTGCACGCCCATAGTCCCAGCTACTTGGCATGGTGAAGTGGAAGGATGGTTTGAGCCCAGGAGGAGGTTGCAGTGAGTTAAGATTGTGCCACGGCACTCCAGCCTGGGTGACAGAGCCAGACTCTGTCCCCTACCCCCCTCTCAAAAAAAATCGAAAAGTGATTATGACCTATTTAAGAAATGTGCCTTATTTCCCTATTGAGGCAACAGAAAATAAAAATTTTACCTGTGGTTCCATAAACTCTTCCTCCTGTCTTAATGTTAAGGTTTACAGGTGCTGTACCATAACTCCTAAAAACAAAAACAAAACACAAAAATTATCCTAAAAAGCTTAAACAAAACAGTAATATATTCCATTTGTACAAATAAATTATACACTCACATAGTAAATGGAGTGACACACGTTTCATTTCTATTTTTATTTTTTAAATTTTGTAAAGATGAGATCTCATGCCATGTTGTCCAGGCTGGTCTCAAATTCCTGGACGCAACCAATCCTCCCACCTTGGCCTCCCAAAATGCCACAGCGGCCAGCCAACACATTAAAAAAATAAATAAATAAATAAATTTAAACTAATATTTAAAAGTCTGTCACTTGCTGAATAAAAGACAAAAACATTTTTTAAAAGTCTGACTTGTTTCTATTTCAAAAATCTCTTTGCCATTAACTCAACATTCCACTGTAACAAACTTCACAAAAAATAAGGCTCAGAAGGGAAAAACAGTTTATACCCATTGTCTTCTTTCAACTCCTGGCCTCCCAGTTATCAAACATACAGCAATCCTAAGCATAAGTAAAATTCCTCCAACTTGTTGCCAAATCCAGTGGTCTTTCAGTTCTTCCTACATTTGATATTGTTAATAAATCCTTTTTCAACTATTCATGGAGTGCTTAGTCCATAATAGGAATTTATTGACATGAAACTCTAAAATAAGTCTAGCATGAAAGCAGAACAGTGTTTGCTGGTGGTAGGGTGGTTAATGACCAAGACGAAAAACAAGGGAAATTCTAGGACACTAGTTATGTTTCATATCTTGATCTGGGTTGTAGTTACATGAATACATACATTTGAAAAAAAAAAATTGAGCTGGACCTTTTTAGATGTAATACACAGTGATAAAGAAAAAAAAATCTGAAGTTGGACCAACCCACATTCAAATGTTTTGTCAATTGTGAGCTGTATAATCTTGGCCAAGACACTTAGACTTGTATAAAATTATTTGAATATTTCATTGGATTTATACTTGTATAGATAAGCCTTGTGTAATTTTCTGTAACATAGGGTTATAGATAGTTCTTTACATTTTTATATAATGGACTTATATATGAGTAGCATTATCAAATATCCTAATTAAAATAGACTTTTCTGTTATTGGGGAAGTTAGAAAGAGGAAAATTGAAACAGGCAAAGAAGGACCAATTCCCACTAACAAAAATATATCAGTAAGACCTCAAGTCATAGATGTTTTCAACGATAAATATCTCACATTACATTCATGTTATATATTTAGTTCTTTTCTCTCAGAAGTTCAGCCAACCGGACTTCATGTTCACTGCTTTTGGTCTAATAAAGATCCATCTTTTGTCTTGAATGTACTAAATATATAAGAATTAGGTTTAGTTACGTTTGCACTGTCATTTTTCTTTTCTACTTAAAAAAGAAAAATGTAAATACAATAAAATGTTCAAGTAATTGTATCAAATAACTGTAGCTCCACAGCTAGAAATGCAAAAATTATAAAGGGGACCAAACATTACTGTCAAGCAGTACTATCATCTCCAACTTGAACTGTTTCATTATTTTATAGACTGATTAATTCATGTAATGCTTACTGAGCACCAAAACCATGTCAGGTTCTGGGCTAAGGAAAAAGTATGAGGAGCTGGACACATATGGTTCCTGCCTTCATGATGTTTACCTTTTAGCAATCCAAATTCAGCAAAAGTGACTGAGAGGTATCTACATATGATGTACATTTCTAATTTGAAAATCAAATGTACAAAAATCAAGGATTGTCTCTAAACTGTTTTTATAGGACTACTACAGAATAAAATAGTATTTTTATAAAAGGCTTAGCTATAAGTGTTCAATAAATGAGCTTTTTTGCTTTCCAACCAGCTATCTTCTATTTCCCATTCTGCCTTTTAAAACATGATTTTTCTTTTTTAAGCCACAACCCTTTGTATTCATTCTGTGCAGAAAAGCTTAGTGGTACGAAAAATTGCACATAAACAAATTTGATATAATGTCCAATTGATCCCCATGAAGTCTCACACCATTCTAAATGCTAGATCCCACACTTGGATTTCCTATAGGAACTTCAAAATAAACATGCCAAATGAATCTATTTTGTGGGAGGTGGGTGGAGCAGCGCCCACCTATACGCAATTAACTGCTCTAGAAATCTTTAAGTCATTGAGCCCTTTAGCTCCTCCTCCATCCACAACCAACCAGTTACCATGTTATTTCCATTTCTTTCTTTTTATTCTTTGAGACAGGATCTCACTATATTGCCTAGGCTGGCCTTAAACTCCTAGGCTAAAGCAATCCTCCTACCTCAGCCTCCCAAGTCCAAGGGACTACAGGTGTGTACCACATGCCTGACTGTGTTTCTATTTCTCAATTATTCGAATATACCATTTTCCCATTTATTTCTCTACTAATGCTGCTGCCTTAGTCTAAATTATCATCTCACCTGGACAACTACTTCACATCTATTAGTCAATGTCTCTCCATCTAACCCATCTCAACTACTGCTGCTAGAGTTATCTTTTCAAATAATATGACCTGTTTAAAAAACTAACCAGGTGTCCAAGGGAGAGAATACGGTCTTGGGTCCTTAGTTTCTGTTTCTGATCAGGCCAGTAAAGCCCCTTCATCACCCCCCTTTTTTCCCACTTATCATGGGAGACAGAAACTAAAAACTATGGCTTTGGGCTGCTAAAAGCCTAAAACAAAGCAAAAGAGAACAACAAAATAAGGCAGGTTGGACAAGCTTGCAGGGTTTTACAAAGACATAGCAAAAGGATCCTAACTCCTTCCATAAGCGATTTCAACCATCTCTTTTCATCTACCTTATCCCCCAGCCATGTATTTCTAGGCCTTGCGTCTACTACATTTACTGTAAGGAGTGTCCTCTGTCTAAAAACCACTGTCTCCCATCTCAAGCATTATTCAAACAAGTTTAAATGTTACCTCTGGGATCTTCCCTTCAAAACTTGCAGGCTTTTAGCAATTCTCTTCTCAAACCTTTCAAATCACTTTGAACATGTTTCTACTCTGGCACTTATGTTGCACTGAAATTACTTACTCACATGTCTGTCTTCCTCACTACTTGTAGAAAATAAGAGCTATGTTATAACTTCTTGTATTCTCATCATTACTTAATACATTTACAAATAAAAAGTTGCTGTTTTCATATAACTTTATCTAACTAGTTAACTCCAGGAAATTTCACGGTGATTTTACCAAGAGTTATTTTGTAGCATGGTAAATGTAAAAAAATAAAATGATGGAATTGACCACAGATGGTTTGATAAAGGCACATTATCTTTACTACTCAACACAATGTCAGATAAATTATGTCTTTAAAAAGTATTTATGGCTGGGTACAGTGGCTCACACATGTAATCCCAGCACTTTGGGAGGCTGAGTTGGGTGGATCACCTGATATCAGGAGTTCGTGACCAGCCTGGCCAGCCTAGTTAAACCCCATCACTACTAAAAATAAAAATAAGAAAATTAGCCAGGTGTGGTGTCAGGCACCTGTAATCCCAGCTCCTTGGGAGGCTGAGGCAGGAAAATCGTTTGAACCTGCAGGGGAGAGGTTGTAGTGAGCCAAGATCATGACATTGCACTCCAGCCTAGGCAACAAGAACAAAACTCCATCTTAAAAAATATATTTACTGAGTACATAAATAGATGAATCTCAGAAATAGGTAACAAACTAGTTTCCAAGATAATTATTCCTACTTTAAGACTAGCTTTTCTTCATACCTTACTTTCACATAAAATGAACTTGTAACAAAGGCATGTTACCTAAAATACAAAAGGCTATTTTGTATTTCTAACAATTTACAATAAATCAATCCAGTACTGTTCCTTGAACACAGTTTGTTCTTTAAATTTGCTTCTGAAAATGCTGTGCATAGTAAATATTTATCAAATTTCAAAATTTCATCTTCACATTGACTTTGTTTTCAAGGGACATACCTTGAAATACAGAGGTAAAACAAATTTACACTCTTCACAAACGCCTGTAATTTACTTTTGAAATGCATAAAATGACTAAAAAATAAATCAACTGATAAATGGGTAAAGGCATGGATACAGGAATATGAGTTCAAGCAAATAAAGCAAAATGTAGACTATTTAATCTGGTGATGGGTAAATAAGCATTCACAGGTCAATTCCTTCAACTTTTCTGAGCATTTGGAAATTTTCATAATCAAATGTCTAAGGGGAAAAAAACCTTCAGAAACAACTGTAACTAAATAACATTCAATTTATTTGGTTAATAACCATTTACTGAACACTTACCATATTTAAGGCAATGTGAGGAAGATAAAACTTCATAAATCACGGTTTCTTGTTTTTTTGAAGGGTTTTGAATGTAACAGTTTCTACTCTATAGGAATCTAAAGAGTCTAAAGGTAGTCAATATGTATAAACATAATTTCAATGCCTAAAACTGAAAATTGCTATAAGAAATAAAGCTCAGTAAGGTACTATGAAAATCCACGTACATTTAATATTTGAGTGCAATTATCTACCAAAAAAATGGTCCCATTCACAATCCAAAAAAATTGTCATTTGCTTCAAATTGTTCTATAACTTATAAAAACAAATAATTTTATATACAATATTTAATGAACATGCAATTATTACAATTTTATATGTGTTTCTTTTTCATAATGCAGAACTAGTGAAATTAATGAACTTATTTTATGTTTCCAATGCATAAGCTATAATAATCACATTATACAGCCAATTTGGAAAATAAAAAACATTGACTCTTAGTCTCCTATCATAACTGAATCACGATTCGTACTTCGACGCCTTTCCCTTCCAATCTTTCTGTAAGATTCTTTATGTGCTCAACGAGGCAATGACAGTCCATTCACCTGTTCCAGTTTATAGAATATAAAATTTGAGACAAACATTGGTCTAAAAGGCCTACAGGAGAATTAAAAACTTGAAAAACTATTAAGAATAAAAAGAAATACTTTTGATATTGTTTTTATTGAACAAAAAAATATTAAAACCTAAGCTCAGGTTTGGATAAGTAATAAAGTGAAGTAATAATAAGTACAGATAAAAATTACAATTTAAGGATTTCTAATTCTAACCAAAGATTTTATAGTACACAATTCTTTTTTTTTTTCTTGAGACAGAGTCTCACCCTGTCACCCAGGCTGGAATGCAGTGGCACCAGCTGGACTGCAACTTCTGCCTCCCGAGTTAAAGTGATTCTCTTGCCTCAGCCTCCAGAGTAGCTGAGATTACAGGTGCCCCCCACCATGTCCGGCTAATTTTTGTATTTTTAGTAGAGACAGAGTTTCATCATGCTGGTCAGGCTGGTCTCAAACTCCTGACCTCAGGTGATTTGCCCACCTCAGCCTCCCAAAGTACTGAGATTATAGGCATGAACTACCACACCTGGCCTAGTACTCAATTCTTTTATAAAAACACTTTAAATTCAGGATCAAAAACTGCTGCTTCCATGTACTTTTGCCTAATTAGTTAACTTTATTTTAGGAAAGAAGTATCTTCAGGATGAAACTTTGACAAGAGTTCTTATATGTTAAAATAGAAAAATGTAAAAACCATGGAATCAACCACTGAGAGTTTGATATAGGCACACTACCTTTGCTATATAGCAGTTACACAATTGCTACTTACTAAAAAATAACTTACCCATACTGTGGTGCTCCTGTTTTAATGTCTCCTATAGTGACATGAACATCATCTTCATCATCATCACTGTCACTATCACTATCATCTTCAGTCTCAGTCACTTTCTACATGAACATAAATTAGAAAATACATTCAATAACCATTTCAACATCTAATACTAATAACTAAAAAAATAACCACCCTGGTTTTTTTCTTTCTTCTTTCTTGAGATGGGAGTGTCACTTTGTCACCCAGGCTTAAGTGCAATGGCGTGATCTCGGCTTACAGCAACCCCCGCCTCCCAGGTTCAAGTGATTCTCTTGCCTCAGCCTCCAGACTAGCTGGGACTACAGGCACATGCCACCATACCCAACTAATTTTTGTATTTTTAGTAGAGACAGGGTTTCGTCATGCTGGCCAGACAGGTCTTGAACTCCTGAACTCAGGTGATCCACCAGCCTCGGCCTCACAAAGTGCTGGGATTACAGGTGTGAGCCACTGTGCCCAGCCCCATTCTGTATTTTTGAGATACAGTTTAAAAAGAAAAGTTACAAGCTGCCACCTATTTCAACTCATAATTTTGATGTTCTACATGATAAAAAGGCCAAGATTATAAATAAAAAAATAAAATTTTTTTTGGAATCATCTTCTTTTGGTAAACACTACCTCATTTTTTTTTAATTATCGTATCTGCCTCTCTTGCAAAAAGGATCTAAAGCAATTTACTGAGATATCTCCAAGATAAAATTATAAAAATTAAGTATTTGAGGAATTCTTGCAAAAAAGAATCTAAGAGGAAAACAATTTTAAGATTCAGTGCCACAAATAGAAAGTACCAAATAAACTAAAAATTTAAAAAAAAAAAAAAAACCCAAAACATAAAAAGTACCAAATAGTTAAGCAGAAGCTTAATGATTCTTGGTATTCATGCACACCTAGAAGAGACCCTACATGCAAATTCTACATTTATGAAGATTTTACATTGGCTTTCAAAGGCTATTTTGTGCTTAGTCACATCATAGTAAATAAGTAGATCACATAGGCAAAATACTTTTCTGTATACAACTTCAAATTTGCATAACAGTAACTTCCTTTCATAGGATTAAAATGTACAAATATTCATAGGACCAATGATATGTTCACCTCGCAAAGTAACAATTTGGCAGGGTCAGGGACTGTCACATACGTTAAAAAGCACGGATAAAAAATTGTAACATTCAAAGGTTGTGGGACTCAAAATCTGCTCAGAAAACCAGGCTCACTACATTTGGTAGATTTAAAAGCATTCAGTTCCTTGAAAGCAATAAGCATCAAGCCTTTGCACATGCTATTTTTCCTCTGAAGTCTTTCTACTATTTCCTCTCCTCCTTGCTAATTCCTATATATGTTTAGATTGGACCAGATGAAGTAGATGTAAGAAAGGGCCAGATAACATAGAATGCTGAAGGTGATATAAAATGCTAGCTTGCTTTCTAAGTAAACTGTGAAGTGATTGATAAAAATTTGTATCAGGAAAGGAACTGAATTTCAAAGCCTTATGTTACCGGTTTTGGTACACCATTTTCAGCAGTTTCATCTTCAATTCCAGATGGAGGATTAGCACTACAAACAACAATAAGTATACATGTCAGGCATTACTTTTCAGAAGTAGAGATAGATTATATTAGTATTTCTAAGCTATGTCTGATAAGGTTCCTAAAATTATTGTCTCTACGGAGACAGTAATAGTAAAATTTGACTGTCTTATTCCCTGTTATTTCTTGTAACTTGCATAAAACAAGTATTGAACATTTTAAGTAGAATGCAAATGCCTTCATAATTTATTAATGATTTACAATTTAATGCTGGGCTCTAACGCAAGCTTTTTACACATTTTAAAAACATAGAACATAATCAATTTTCATTATCGTAAATCTTTACTGAACATCCACTGTATACCAGGTACTAGTACTGTAACTGCCCAGACCTATATAATAGTTTTCTTTTTTCCTTGGTGCTCAAGAACTCAAGATTGGTGGTACAATCACATTAACTCTCTCAGTATTCAGTTAACATAAACATGTTTCTTCTTGGTTCTCTGTTTTATCAATCTTATTAGAGATATGTCCTTTGTTGAATAAAACATATAATTTTAAGATTAAAAAAATGTATCTTCATTCAAGACTGTTCTCCAATTTGATATTAATAAGGAGCTAACTCTCATGAATGTTAAAACTAATTACTTTTTTAAGGTCAGTTAATACTTGAACTTGCCTTTTCCTAACAAAACTGATATGTAACAATAAAACATTCACATTCCCATGAAACTCAAGCATATGGTCATTTATCAGCAAAATGGTACCACAGTGTAATTGGTTTCTTAAATTTGTTAGTAATCGTAATTTCAACAGTGAGAATTAACCATCGCCTCATTTTACAGATAAGAAAACTGAAGTACAAAGCAAGCAGCTGATTTGGCTCAACTTTCTGAATTATTTAGTAGCATTCTTAAAAAAAAATGTCCAGATGTTGACACAGTTCAGACCACTTTTCATTAGATTTCTACTCATCTTTTCTAAACTTCACTTCCTGTCAAGTAGTTTCTATGTAAATCAATTTAATCTTTACAGTGGCATTTTATAACACAAGTACTCAATAAAGCAAAATGAAAGATAAACAGTGAAAACATAACTGTTAAATTTTCATTATTCTGCTTGCTTCAAAAAAACAAATATGCAGCTATAAGTGTTCAGTACAATTTTCCTCCTGCTGAAATAAGTTTCTAGGTAGCCAGAAACAAGTCCCATTTGCTTTCTGTATGTCACAAAACAGTATCCTTTCTTTAGCCAAAACTTGGATAGTCATTAACACAATTGGAGACTGCAATGCAATGGTTAAGAAAAACAGTGGCCTCCGCAATGAGCCAGCTGGCGGGAAACTGGGGCAAATTCTAATAGCAGGAACTTAGGTAGAGCAATGCAATGATGTGCCAAACCAGATAGCAGTAAACCTACTGGCAGAGTTCCTTTCTTCAATAGGCCTACTATTGAAGTTTTAATTTTCTATTACCATTAAAAGGTTAGAAACATGATAAAATTATAAGCTTTTTCTAGAAAAATAACATTGTAAAGGAAGTTGTTTTTTCCCCATAGGATGAAATTAACTCAACTGCTCCCCAAATGAAGTTTTGAAAAGGAATATAAAGTTATGTTGACAGTGACACTCAGGGAATGTAAAAGGCCTCTCTCCAATAAATTTTAGCAAGTTGTGTATTGGGGAATTAAAATTAAAGAATGTTTTATCAGAAAGTAAGCTTTTAAAATTGTAACCAATAAAGATAAAAATCAATGGGATAAAGATTATCATATAAAGAAGTATATTTGATTGTAAATCTACACCCTGCAATTAATTGCTTGACCAACTGAAGGAATGGGTATAAAGAAATATTTAATCACTTTCTGATTAACCATTTTGTGATTGAGATTAGAATTAGGAACTGAATTGAATACATAAATTTCAAAATGAAATAACATATCATATAATACATCAATGAGTGAAAAGACTACAGGAGATTTTTTGGGTGAGGAAGTTGAACAGTAATTTCAGCTCCTCCTAAGCTATTTCTGCTTCCATTTCTCACTTTTTCCCTCTATCTATCTTTTTGTTTTAACAGCGTATTGAGATGCAATTCACATATTACACAATCTATCCATTCAAACAGGACAGTTGAGTTTTAATATGTTCACAGAGTCCAACCATCACAACTATCTAATGCCAGAATGTATGCATCACTCCAAAAATGAACTTTGCATACATTAGCAATCACTCACCCAACTCTTTTAGCAACCACTAATCTGTCTCTGTGGATTGGCTTTTACTTAGCACCTTTGCAAGGTTCATCCACATTGTAACACCTATCAGTAGTTCATTTTATTTTCCCTACCAAATAATATTCCACTGTATGGATATAACACATTTAATCTATCCTTTCATCAGCTGATACAGGTGCGAGGTTTTTTACATTTTCTATTAAGAATGCTGCTGCTATGAATATTCACATACGAGTTTTTTTTGTGAATATATGTTTTCATTTCTCTAGGTGGAGGGCTCATATGGTAACTCCATGTTTCACCATTTGAGAAAATGGCCAGGCTGTTCTTCAAAGCAGCTGCACCATTTTACAATTTAACCAGCAGTGTATGAGGGATTTTTTTTCTCCATATCCACACCAACACCTGTTTTATCTTTTTGATTACAGCCTACTGGGTTTGAAGTGGTATTTCTTCCATTTTTTAAACCCAAATATTCTTTAAAATGTTTTAACTATCTCTCCCTCCATTACAGACACTAACGCATGTGGTCAGGGTCAAGTCAGTATCTCCATATACTTCTTTGCATGGGTTGTTTTTCGAAATTCAGGGTAACTTTCCGACTCTCTGTATATGTTCTATAAATGAACACTTATATCTTTCTAATAATCTAACGAAGGAAATCAACCTTATAACAAATCAGCTAATTATATTTGAATGTAAATAAATACATAGCATTGAAATTATAAGCAAAGTGCCATTATCCCATCAAAAATGTTAACAAATTGGAAAAGCAGTAATTTGGGGGTTCATTTACTTAAAAATATTTTCAATTAAGTTAAAATATTTTTATCAGTAGCTTAATGATTATACTGTATACTTCACTGCTGAATTCATTTAAGAGTAACAAGTTACTTAATAGTGTAAAATCAGTCAAATCCTAAGTTCATAAAGTTTGTCCTATAAACTACCAACAAATAGAACTGGCATAAGATGCGGTGCTGAAACTGGAATAATCCTTAAAAGATTCAATGTTCTCCAAAATGTTGTAAGTCAGTGTTATAATCAAGCCTATGATTATAAGGAAATAATTTTGACAACTGACATACCTACTGTATCACACGATCTGTAAAAGCATCATCAGAAAATTTCACTAACCTGGCATTTTCTTCTTCTGGCCTTTCAACTTCATTTTCATCTACCAAGTAAAATAAACAAATAAATAAATAAACAAACAAAATAAACCACTCTTAAATAAACTAGTATTATGAAAATCTGAAGTGATCATCACAAGCACTAACCTAGGTCCTTTGCCAAATCACTGTGCACATGCACGTCCCATGGGCCTATAAGCACATCCAAAGTTAGATCACCTTATAATTACTTAACAAGATACGTCTTTTATGGAAAAAAAAAAAATCAGACTTTACTGCTATAAAAATAAGCTTAAAGAGGTACTGAAGATTTTCAAATCTTTGTAAAAGAAATCCTACACATTCACATTTCAAAGGGTAGTAACTAATGCTAAATCTTGCCACCGATGATAATGAATTGTTTTTTTCACAAGTTTATCAAAGTTACATCATCAAGGACCTGCATGGTGCCCAACGTGCACTTTTACTATTCTATTCTACAGACAATCAAGAATTTATGTTTTAGGCAAGGAACAAACATTAACTTTCAAATCTGGTGTAACAGGCAAGGGATTGTGACTAAATTAAAGTTAAAAACCAGATGTTAAACAAGTACCTTTCAAGAGAGAAGTACATGATGCATTAATTTTTAGAAAAAGCAATACATGAGATGACACTGAAAACTATAAGCCGAAGGGTCATGAGATACTTCTATGATGTAGGTTAAACGGCAGTCTCTTAAAAAAGAAAAACTTCACCTTCATACAGGAGACATTCAGTTTTCTTTATGGGCCATCTTTCTCTCTCTCTCTGTCTCTTAATTAATTATTTTTAAAGCACGACTTTCAGACAAGGAGGTACCCTTGCAGGTGCATTCCATACAAACTGACCATCAAGAAACAAGACGTTAGTTGTACAGCATTAACTTTATTTAGCTATTATTACAGAATGACTGTTTCTGAAAGAAGGGACAGGAGGGGCACCCTAAGGCCACGGGCAAGAAGAGACACAAAAAAACACCACTTCAGAATCGATAGAAAAAACAAGGGTAAAGTGCGCAGCAGCGAGGCGGCCGAGACACCCCGGAGGAAAGTAAGGCGAAACTGGGGGCCGGGAACCGTCACAGCCCCCCAGCCCGGCCCGGACGCCGCAGGATGGGTGAGCGTGGTGGGCGTGGGCCCGGCGGGAGGTGGCCGCGGGGGCGGGGGACGCGCGCACGCCAACCTCGGCCTAAGTCAGGCCGGACAGGGCTCCCAACCAGAGGCCCGAAGCGGCTGCGCGAGGGACCCGGGACGCTGGCCGTTTGCGGGCCGAGAGGGGAGGCCTGAGAGAACCCGAGAAAGAGACAGGGACAGGAAGTTCCGTACCGCCATAGAGCCACTCTTCCTCCTCATCCCCTCCGGTCCCGCCGCTCAGCTCCGACACTAGGCGCTCGACCTCGCCGGCCGACATGGCCGCCCGAGCGCAACTTAAACGCGGCGATCAACAGCCCCCTCCAACCCCTTCCCCAGCCTCGCTGCCCCAGGGCGCGAGAAAGGCGCGAACCCGCCAGCTAGCGAACGAAGAGAGCGCGAGACTCAAATCCCAGGAAGGCTGCAGAGGCGGCAAAGATGAAGACTCCGGAGCACGTCCGCCTGCGCATGCGTAGCAAACCCAATCGGCGCGGCGTCTCTAGGTGGCTTCGCTTCCGCGGCGGCGGCCACCTGGGCCTGGTTGCGCGTGCGCACTGCGGTGGGCCCCCCGCCCCTCTGGGATCCCGCTTTGCTTTTTAGCGTAGCTTCCGCCACTGGCGTCCTGCGTCGGCCAGAGTTCCCCGCCCACATCCTTTCCTCTAATAACCCGTATTGCCATTGCTGGCGAGTCCACCATTGTTTCCTTCTACTCTTCGTGCTTTTTCTTCTCAACCTTTTATTTATTTATTTTTTAATCTTCCGAAAGGCCTTCTTTTATTCTTTAATCAGCCTTGATACAGAATCGTTACCTGTCACTCCCTTTCCTCACTGAATAGAGAAGAAATCATAATCCGTACTATTTCTTGAAAAGTTAATTTTCACAGCCACAAAAGCAAAACCAATAGATGAAGAATGCAGCCTCCTTGTTAAAAACCGTAAATTACAGTTAAGGTCAAAGAACGCCTCATTCCTCTACCCTTCTTTCCAGAGGTAGCCCTTATTACAGATGCACATCCTGTTTGCAGTTCATCATTCTGAAGTTTCCTACTTACTTCGTGTGTTGTGCTGTTTTGGTGGGAGAACCTGAGACTGGCAAGTCTTAAATAGTATAGCATCATCCTATGACTTCCATTTTTTTAAACATCATTTTTATTTTAGTATGTATCAAACTATATTTTAAGTGGTTCATAAAATTGCATATATGGCTATCACAGAGTGACTATGGCTATTTCTCTATTGCTATACACCCAGATTGCTTTCGACTTGACACTTTTAACTACAGCAAAAAAAAAAAAAAAGAAGATCCACGCAGCTCCTTGCAGATTTGTCTGTTTCTCAAAGATAAATCATAAAAATGTACCGTTTTTATTTTAATAGGTAAACCAAATGTTCAGGCCACTTCTGAAAGCACATCTTCCAGTGAAAAGATGGCAGACCATGGTTCAAACTGGAGCTCCAGGGTTTTTTTGTTTCTTATTTATTTATTCATCTGAGGCAGTTTTGCTCTGTCCTTCAGGCTGGAGTACAGTGGTGTGGTCTCTGCTCACCGCAACCTCCGCCTCCTGGGCTCAAGCGATTCTCCTGCCTCAGCCTTCCAAGTAGGTGGAATTACAGGCATGCGCCACCATACCCGGCTAATTTTTGTATTTTTAGTAGAGAAGGGGTTTCACCATTTTGGCTGGGCTGGTTTCAAACTCCTGACATCAGATGATCTGCCCACCTCAACCTCCCAAAGTGCTGGGATTACAGACATGAGCCACTACACACTCGGCCTGTTTTCTTTTTCTTTCTTTTTTTTTCTTTTGAAACTGTGTTGCTCTGTAACCCAGGCTGGAGTGCAGAGCCAGGATCACTGCTCACTGTAGCCTTGACCTCCCAGGCTCAAGCAGTCCTCCCACTTCAGCCTACTGAGTATCTGGGACTACAGACAAGCACGTTCCACCACACCAGCTTTTTTTTTTTTTTTTTTGTAGAGACAACGTCTCATCATGTTACCCAGTCGTGTCTGGAACTCGTGACCTCTAGCAGTCCTTCTACCGAGGACTCCAAAGTGCTGGAATTACAGGTATGAGCCACCAGGCCTGGCCTCAGTTCTTCCTTATACCTAGCAGCTTACATAGGCAATCAACTTTTCTATTCTTCAGTTTTCTCATCTATAAAATGGAAAGGCCAAATTAGGTTATCTCTAAGGTCCCTTTCAGTTCTAAAGTTTACAAACAGGGCATTCACTTGTCAAAAGAAATAAATCCATTTTAAGTGAACAAATAAATGGGTTTTCTTGCTTTAATGAATAAATATTGTTTCATCATTTATTTATTTAGCACTTACAGAATATCTGCTATTTAAGAAATTGGAAAATGAAGACATGAGTGAAAGAGTCCTAGCCCTTAAAGAGCTCTCAAGTTATTGAGAAAGACATAGGGGTGGTAAACAACTCTCCTACCAAGAGAAAAGGTGAATGTACTATAATGGAAGCACAAATGAAAGGTTTATAGCCAACCAACATCACACCATCTCACATCAGTTGAACAAACCATGTGGTTTTAATCTTTCTTACCTTTGAACATGCTTCTACCTGCTATTCCCAGCTCCCTTATCTTTTGAGGATAATCTCTTGCATCTTTCTAAACTCTCTGAGGGTATGAGGGTATAATCACCTCTGTGAAATCTTTCCTGAATCCCATTTTGTCTCTTCCCATTTGTTTTGCCAGGAACTCTTCCAGCTATGTAGATTCACCAGTGAATAAAACAAAGTCCTTCCTTTTACGGAGCTTTGATTCTAATAAGAGAGTCAGATAATAAACATATGAATGTATGAAATGTCATGATGATAAGGATTATGAAAAGAGTAAGCAATATAAAATGAAGTGATGGGGTGCGATTTTATATGAAGTGATCAGGGAAAGCTACTCTGATGAAGTGAAATAAGAGACTTGAATGGAGGTAGGACATAAGCCCCGTGGAATTCAGGGTGAATAGACTCAGACGGAGGAATAAGAAATGCAAAAACCCTGAGGCAGAAGCATACTTGGAATGTTCAAGAAACCCAAAATGTAGCTGGAGTATAGTGAGTGAGAGAGAGAATGTAGATGAGGTCAGAAGTATTTGGGGGGCTGAGTGGGAAAGAGCGACTCACCACTTCTGCTTTCTATGCCATGTGCCTATCACATTGTATAGTAATTGTTTGGCTACATTTCTGTTTTTCTCAGACTCTTCACTAGACCAAGTCCACCTTCAAACAGGAAATCCCATAGCTATCACTTCCATTCCTAGTATAGGGCTTAACACTATGTAAATCTTCTTGGTCACTTGAAAGTAATAGAATGTGAGTATCGTAAGGCAATCACTCACAGTCCTGTCTATTTATGTTTCTATTTATTTAATTGGTTTCATGAGAAAACCAATTGCCTGTTGTTAAGGGACCTTTTTCTCTTTTCAGCTGACTTTCAAGGCATTGCTTAAACAGAACTGAAGAAATGATGACTCATACTTGATGCATTAGAATCGCTTTTGTGGCGGAGGTAGCATTTGAGCTAAGCTTTGAAAATGAAGGTTTCCACGAGCAGAGAAGCACATAAATCACTAATAACCACTCTGAAAAGACCTCCTCTTCCTTGCTTCTAAACTGAGCTTCTTGCTTTCTTAAAGGTGTTTTTCTCTCCCTACTCACCAGGGGAGACATCAAAAGTAGGTAGTTTAAAGATATTATATATTCCTCCTTCCATTTCTTATATTATGACCTTATCAAACTACAATGTTTCATATATTCTATTTATTTTCGATTTTATTGTTTTGTAGTCTTTTGGTTTCTAGCAAAAAAGAAATTTAAAAATATGTTTTAATGTACCTATCTGAGAAGTACTGAGAGTGTTTAGTTGGTGATGATGAATTAAATAATGACAAGAGTTGGAGATCAAATAAAAATGATTTGCTCAGTATCCAGTGTATATAGCAAGTACACATAAATGTGTGTGGCATGCATATGACATTTAGGCCTAGCTGTCCTCTTTGCTGTCACTTAAATTTCAATGTTCTTAAGTTTCCTCAGCAGTAAATTGATACATTAAAATAACATTTTGTACTTATTTTGAGGAAGGATAACAAAGCTAAATTGAGGTTTCGAATGTCAAAGCATCTGGCCAGGCATGGTGGCTCATGTTTGTAATCCAAGAACTTTGGGAGGCAAGGCAGGTAGATCACCTGAGGTCAGGAGCTCAAGACCAGTGTGGTCAACAAGATGAAACACTGTCTCTACTAAAAATACAAAAATTAGCTGGGTGTGTTGGCGCACACCTGTGATTCCAAGTATTCAGGAGGCTGAGGCAGAAGAATCACTTGAACCCAGGAGGAGGTGGTTGCAAAGAGCCAAGATCACACCACTGCACTCCAGCCTGGGTGACAGATTGAGACTTTGTCCCCCCACAAAAAAAGTCAAAGCATTTGACAAGTTATTGGCAAGCAGCTAATGTGTTGTTTCGGCCTTTTCTTCTTTGAACAAACAGAGTAGTTGTACATGTGTAGAGTTTCCTTCATCTTTATGTACTTCCATGATAAATTAAATCCCAATTAGCCATCTTCCTCTGAATCCTGACATCTTTTAGCAATAAACTTTACCTAGTCCTAAGTTTAGCTCATAAAAAAAGAAAAAAAGAAATTTTCTATTGCTAGTTGTTTCTGGAAAATTGTATTATTTCCTATTCATGGCTGTGCTGTCAGTAAACTTCACACATTCTTTTTAAGGGTGAGAACAAAATCATTTTATTTCTGTATTTGCCAGGTCCTCTCTTACAACGTGAAGTACATGGAAAGTGCTCAGTAAATCCTTAAGCTGTTATGCATATGGATGACCTAGAAATGAGGTGAAGAGAGATATGTTGGATTTTGGATCAGAAGGGAAATAATAGCTGACCATTTTGAGCAGAGAAATACAAATCACATTTTCATAAAATAAACATGATGGTCTTAAGCTTGTCATTTTAATATGAATTCATTTTACTCTACCATAACATCTGAAAGTAAGAAATGCCTTTTCCCTGGGCTCTCCTCTCTTTTCTGTCTACCTTGTCTCCCAAGTCATTTCCTCAAGATCTGTGACATTTATTTATTTATTTATTTAGTTAGTTAGTTAGTTATTGAGACAGTCTCGCACTGTTGCCCAGGCTGGAGTGCAGTGGCACATTCTCGGCTCACTGCAACCTCCACTTCTCAGGCTCAAGCAATTCTCCTGCCTCAGCCTCCCCAGTAGCTGGGATTACAGGCACAAGCCACGAGGCCCGGCTAGTTTTTGCATTTTTAGTAGAGATGAGGTTTCACCATGTTGTCCAGGCTGGTCTCGAACTCCTAACCTCAAGTGTTCTGCCCACCTCAGCCTCCCAAAATGCTGAGATTACAGGTGTGAGCCCTGTGCCTGGCCTCCATGACTTTTGATGTCATGTCGTTGAGAACCAATGACATCCATATTTCTTTCTGCAGTCTTAACCTCTCTTTGAGCTCAGGACACTTGGTCAGACTCAAAT